ATCGCAATCCTCCTTGCTAGTGCTTATTCACGTGTCCTACTCCTTTAGTCAAGCCCCTCCAGCACTGAAGTACAATGTATAAACTGGACTCATTTCAACAGCAAAAAAAAAACAGTGCGGCAACCCTAAACCCTACATAAACATTCCTCAGCTCCTCTTCAAGGTGCAAGCTACCTAGTCAACAGCCCTCATCTCCTATCACCATTGCATTCATATCCACTTGTGCTGGAGGTCTTTTTTTTTTTTCTTCAACCCCCCCCTCCACCACACAACATGCCAGCCAGCCAGCCCCTCTCGGCATCCACAGAGCATGAGCCAGTTGGGGGGGGGTTATGAGAGTCAAGACCCACACAGGAGAGAATCTGGTCGCTCTGACCTTCACAGGGTCTGGGTTCAAGGGTGGCATCCTGTGGCTCTTTGGGGGGCCCCTGGGAGCGAGGATGAGGCAGAGCTGAAGACACAGAGCAGGGGGTCCATAATGTTCCTCTTTTACCAAATGGCATGACTTTTCCCGAGCTGTGTGGGCTTAGCATCTTCACCTACACAACCATTACATCTTCAACCAATCATTATTTGGTGCATGCACACCGAGAACTTGATTTGGTATGAAATGCACCAATCCCTTCTCAGCACTTTCTGGAGGTTAACTCAAATTTAAATCCACGATTTACGAGCAGTTCAGGACTTGCATCTTCATTTTACATGTGTATGGGATTTGAAGCTGCGATTTGAACACAGAACAAAGCAGTACTACCGTACTGGGAGTAACCTCAGTGCTATAAAGTCTCCATAGCCAGAGAGAGTTGGATCCACAGACAATTTAGGAGTCCAGTCAAACATAAAATATGGCATGCTGAAAACAATATAAAACACTAACATAAAAACCATCTGCAGCTCGGATATGTACATGTACATTTGTGTACAGAAATACACTGTTTCAATGGAGTAAAAGTAAGTTGATAACACACTGATGCAGGAAGTAAACGGTCCAATGCAGACACACAAAGCTTATGTTCAACATCAGTTCATTTTTAAGCCATCTGTATGATTGTAGGCAAACATTGATTCGCCCATTGCATTTCACTGTAGGCAATGAGTCAGCACTCCAGTAATATCTCTCAACCATGGCACTGCATTTTTCTTTTTCCTGGAATTTTAAATTGGACTATCTGTTTTAAGAGAGGGGCTGAAACTCTAAGGTACCTGAAGTACACCGTGCACGTGTCTGTGTTCGTGTAGAAATTAGAAAATATTTTGTGATAGGAAACTGGTAAAAAAACTGGTAAAAAAAAAAAAGAAACAAGATGTATGCAATTGATGGCCAAGGTTTGAACTTGAAGGGCATGATTGCACTCATTCAATATGATTTTAATGGTAAATTTTTTCAAGGTTCTGCAAAACACAAATGGGCCAGTCTTCACTGTTAATCATGTTAGCACCTCAGCTAAATGTGATCTGGCGCATGTCCCCGTGGCAACCAGCATTGATCAAGGCCTGGGCAAACCCCCGACAGTGCATATACATGTACATGTACGCACACCTATGTATCACCTATAGGAAATCACCACTCAGAATTATTTGCTTAACTCCGTCTTAACTGACGCCGATAGGCTAATTAGTATGCCAGGGACCACGAAAATCAATTCCCACTGACAGTCGGTTGGACAGATAGCTTATATGAATGCAGAAGGGTCGATGTAGTGTTCCGCAGGCTACATGAAGGTACATTACTAGCCATCCATGGTTGCTACATATTCCTAGGAGCTACATATTCCTAGGAGCGTCCGGGTGTTATCGTACTGATTGGGGAAATTTATTCAGCAAAAGAAAAATGGACTGAACCTAGCTTTTTGCAATAAATTTCGGTTAGCTCGTCATTTCTTCTGATTAACATAACTTGCCTACTTTTTAGTAAGCAAGCAATTATTAGACAAGCCAAGCAATTATCAAGCAAAAATCCAATACTTTTATGAGCAACAAAGTATTGTTTTAAATCTTCCAAATAATTGAAGGCATGGATAGAAAAAAACAAAAACACATTTGATTTTACAAACTCACACAAATCAACAAGGTGCACAGTTTGAACCAAAAAATGTGAAAGACAGCTCCAAGAAGCACACAAAAAACTCCTCCAGGATACCCTCAACACACCCTTCACAAGATTCGGCACGGGAAGTAGCCAAGAACAAGCAAACAGAACAGAAAGAATCATGAATCAATCTGAGAACATGTCAATGTCATGGCTTGTCTCATGCCCCTTTAATGCATAATCTCGGCCAGGGAATTTACAATGAATGAGAGATAACACCCTGGCAAGAAATTAAGTTATCGTGTGACTTTTCTGTTTTGCCAGGGCCTGATCAATTGAATTACAGAAAAAACAAGATTACTGGGAGGCGTGCATTGCTGAGGACTCATAATTGAAGACGGTGAAATTCAGTTTATCCAATGGAAAATACTTTCTTAAACCCAATCCATCTCCAAATATGCAACTTCATGTAACGGACAGGGGCAGATATCCTTCGACCCTTGGACGTATACTTTATAAAATGAAATACATAATACTGTTCGTTCACTTGAGAAAGAAAGATAAATTTTGATAAACTCGGCACCTTCAAAGTGAAACTTGTATATTATGCATGTGTATGTCTCACTGTGCCTCAAAAGCTAATTAACATCTCTCATTCCAAAACAAAAACAAAACTAAACAAAAAAGAAAAAAGAGAAGAAATTAAGTTTGAAAAAACAGCCCAATGACAGAATGCCCCTGTCCAGATTAGATTTAAATCCAGATCATTAATTAGTCAACCGGAATTTCCGTGCAAGGATTCAGAACCCTTCCTTATTAGAGGACTATACGGTGCATGTACGTACACGTAATTGGTTGCACAACCACTGATCACAGCTCCTCGTAAAATACATGTAATTGATGGGGAAAGCTGATGTAAACACCACTTTGGGATCCTTCAGAGTTTAGCTTGGAGGCTTTCATGGGCACTGCAAATAATCTCACTGACGCAGTAATGTCATAAAAGCTTCCTGTTCCTGACATTACATGCCACTCGTCATTTATACATGGACTACATGGTACATGTAGATCAGGACACAGCTCAGTTGTGGTCTTTTTTAAAAAATTGGGAAAAAGCCTGGCATGGTTTTTTTTCAGAAAGTACATGTACATGTAGGTCCCTAATCAGTTACAAAGGCTATGCTTTACTTCATAAATAATTTCTGTCACTTGTGAAAATAGAGAAAAATGGACAGACTGTAGCTTCATATGAGAAAAGTGAAATTCTGCCTTGACAAGTTCTCAAGCCCAGCAGTTACTACTCCGGTGCTGCGTCAAGCATGCACAAATATCCACTTAGATAGAGCAAGTGCACTATGCTGAAGAACAAGTCGGAATATCCAGTCTCTCACTGTCATGGATCCAAATATTGTTAAGATAATAGTACAAACATCGTACAGTGCATTACAGCTTGAGAACATGCCTGTACTAACTGATCACCAAAGTCAAAATAAAGGTTTGCAATAGGGAATACTGCAGAACCAAGACTGATAATCAATGCGTTCATGTCTTGGTTGGGTCAGGCAAGACTGAAAACATCAGTGACAACTACAGGAGTTCTCTCCGAGGGCCGAAACAGCTTGGTTTAATCGAAAACATTCTAACAACCAAATTGGCACGTTTGGCAGGTCAGCACAACGTGTGGTGTCGAGGGGCTAGTCGGAGAAGAAGAACACATGTCCAGCACAGAACATCTGTCGGTCATTTTATTAGTACCTAACGCAGCGTGAGCGGCAGATATCTGGCAACTTAAGCTGAGGGTAATTTGTCTAACAACATCACAACATCACCAGGAGACAACAGCAAGATCACAGGCCACTTTGAGCTGTTTATGTTGCAGTGCACCATCCAGTGGTTGAAAATGGCCAATTTTCAATGTCATGGTCAACTTTCGACAAAATTTTATCCAAGAGAATAATCACTCCATTACTGATCATTTGCCTATGGTATCATGGGTGTCGCCAGGGTTTTGTTTTTAGGTGGGAGGCCACTTTTTTCCAAATATTTTCTGAGGGAAGGGGTACGGTACTCATCAGCTACAAACTGAAAAACCATTCACAGTGGGAGGGGGCCAATAAGCCTTTCGTGTGTTAAATGTGAATAAAATCTGGTACACTGAGTTCTTTAAATTCATGTGAGCATAACAAATAGAATTCTCCATACCAAAACCAATGTTATATCTCCTGATTCTGGACAAGCTTTTGTTTATATGTAGTTACATAAGAGACACCTTGCAACAATCCACTGTTCTCAATGGATAAGAAGGGCACAAAGGAACCAGCCCAGAGATGGTGGTCACTATGCAAAAGTTTGCCCCGAATCACAAGGTATAGCAACACTGTCTTTAGTCTGGGGAATTCAAATTATTATGTTTATGTGCAATCAGATAGCTCAGTGTACCAGATTTTATTCAAAGTTAACTCACAAATGGCTTATTGTCAGGTTTTTTTCCGGTACAGAGGTGATTTTCATCCTGCATCTCTTCTTTTCATTTCTTTCACTTTTCTCCTTTGACTTCTCAATCTCAAATTGTTGCAGGAGGAGAGGACTTGGGGAGTGAGCAGGTGATGCCAAGGAATGGTAGCACAAGAACAGGAAAACATTTTGAATCCTCACAAACAGAATAAGACAAAGGGGATGTAATTGTGGCACAATATTACGCATAAAAAACTAGTGGAGTTCTTGATGTTTGTGAAAAATGAATACTCATTGGGAATGTCTTCTGCAGAGGAGGACATTTTGTGAACCAGGCTTTGTACAACCAGTGACAAATGTTTTATACTGTGGTTGTTATCAAAGACAAAATACACTCACACACTCAAACTTCACTTGTCTTCATTCCAAATTTTAAGACAAATAACATTTTCTTAAAATTTGGATGGCATATATTATACACTGTACGTATGGAAGTAAAAAAACCTGAGCTACTCACCTATTTTCGACGTCTTGGATGTCAAAGCCTAATTGTTCAGCTAAAGTTCCTGCAAGAAAAATAAGAACTTTTTGTATAAAACACGAGATATGACATGGCACATACCCAAGGGGTGGGTGTGCTTAAAATCAGTGCAGGATCACAAATTTACTGAGCTTTATTCGGTGACTTAATTCACACTGTACACGTTGGTAACCTGCTGTCTCTACAGGGAGAAATTCAACACCTGAAATGTGGAGCCAAGGCCCTCAAACCAATAACTATTTGGGCCAGTGAACTCTCAGGTCAGTGAACTTTGTACAACAGCGCACACCCCAACAGATTTTCAAAGTGGGGGGGGGGGTCATTTATTAGACCATCAAACATCAGCCATTACAAGACCTTCCAAAAGTGGGGGGATAGCATTACCCTTAGGTCAAAAAAGTGGGGGGGGAGAGAGACCCGTCGCCCCCCTGGCACCCCAGCTTCTGCCACCAGTGCTGTAGTGATTCCCTTTCTGATCAGCATCCTGATTTTTAGATCTCACTTTGAGTTCTGACTGATGGCATTTGATTTCTGAGATGTCTGACGGGAACCAGTTTCACAGTGATATTTCATGCTTTTCTTAAAAAAGAAAAGAAAAGCATCAATTTTTAAATGACACTCTGGCTTACAAGATATTTTCATCCAATACCAAAATCCTGCAAGCAATATCCATGTCAAAGAATTAACCTTCAATCCATTTCCATCATGTCCTTCAATAAACAAATGTACACAAAAGAATCAGGAAAAAAGTTACCAGCAAAAGTATTAAATCCACATCTGCTTCAAACTCTAATTTATTCAACTACTTGAAAGCACTTGACAACCAAGTAACTGAGGAACCAGTTAGAATAGCCTTGGCATTGTTGTCGTCAACAGACATCAGCACATATTGGGCAATATTCCACAGTTCAATATTAAATTCAACAGAGCGTTTCTTAATATCAGGATGAATACTGGGGTATGCTGCATGCATAGATGAAGCATAAGTTTGGGTATGTTGGTGTAGGTACTCTACAAGTGCATGTACAACACTGTACATGTACATTGTGTGATTATTTTTTTAATAAACCTTCTTAAAACTGAGCCATATCTAACCTAGAACATAGGAAGAAATTAGGGTTCCATTTTTTCATGTTCCTGTTACATCTGACACATGAATTTGTAACCTCAGAAGACATTTTGTAATTTGCAAGAGTAAAGAATTAATGCAAATAACTAAGGTCAGATGTAACAGGGACACGAAAATGTCACACTTTAGGACCCCTAATTTCGGGAATTACCCGGACAGAATCAGAACAGGAAGACTAGAATCTCCTGCAAAGTATTTAAGTTTGATCTGACAAAAATTGCTCATTTCAATATATTCATTTTGTTATTCTATAAATTTGCGGATTAGCTCAACAAGTGATTTAGTCCACCAAAGTGAACACATTGATCCTCATCCAGTGATTTGTGGATGAGGTTTCAGGGAACCAATAGTGAGCTGAATAATTCATCAACGGAGTTGAACACCAACTGAAAATTTGTTCAAGTATCAAGCAGCACCATGTTAACTACTAGCCTACATGTATGTGCAAAAATTGAGGCCTAGCCACATCGCCAGTATTCTCAAAGAAATTATCTTGCTGATTTGCGGATAAGAATTCAAGGAGCATGTTGATATCTACTGCAGGGTACATTTATATGTAAATTCCAAATGACTGTGTCAAGTGGAAATTATCACGCTTAATTAATCCCCAAACTTCTTCCTCCGGAAAAAAATGTATGTAGATTCTATTCAAGTAGATTGAACTTACATCAGTGGGTGAGCAATAGTGGATCAGCATGTTGAATCCCCAATCAACATGCTAAAGCAAACCGTGAATTAACAACAAAAGTGCTGATGAAAAGTCAAATCCTTGAATCTCTTGTGTGTGACATCTGTAGTGAGGCCTCGCTTTGACCGGCGACAGATGCTGTGAAGTACCTGCCAACTGGTTTGAAATGTGTCTGCCCTGCAAGTTCGATTTCCCACTCCATAAATCAAGGATGACAGGGGCACAAACTTGGGTTTAAGGTTCCAAATAGCCTCTGATTGAAAGCTTTCAAGGGCCAGGCCAGTCCAACCAGAGACTCAAAAACAAGGAAGGGGAAATGTTTTTGTCAGAAGAATGAAAGAAGCATCTAACCCCACTGTTACACCAGCATAAATGTACAGGTACCGTGAATCTTCAATGTTTGTCCAGCATGACTCTTGACAATTCCAGTCATCACCCACAAAAACAAAAACAAAACCCAAGAGAGATCCTCATTAGTCTGTCAGTAGACAGTTAAATGTAATGACAGAGTGGATACAGTAGGAAGATTTTTTTATCTCCTTTCCCCGTAGGTGGCCCAGGTTTGAATCCAACACAAGCTGGCATTCGACACGGTGGTTTTCCCGCCACCTCTACACAAAATGTTTCTTGATCTTTGGTAGTAACACTTTGTACAGCACTTTCTAGCTCTGGTCAAAACGAGAATGATTAAATTCTACAGGCAGATCTAAATACCAATATGAAGACTTGCTGACTTGATTAAACCCTCCTTCATATGCTGACCCTCTGGGCACATTTCTCTCTACCGATGTTTGCCAAGCACTCCAGCTGACCAGTAATTTTGTCAAAAACGGACGTGTCAAAGATGAGGGGAGAGCAAACACAGAGCAACTGTACATGCCAAACACTGTCAAAATTCAATCTAGACTTGATGGCACTGTATTTAGATAATCATGCAAAAAGGGCAGCGATCAAGGTACAGGGCGTTAATTTTTGTAAAATGGTACATTCAGGGATGACACAAATGCATCCATAGCTGACTCCCCCTAAGCCTATACCTTGCCCCTCCCAAAAGGTAGCAGCTAACAAAAAAATAAATAAATTGGCAAAGACAATGAATTAAATTAAATAAAATACCAGATGGGTGTGTGAATAGGGTGAAAATGCTCCATGATATCACAGCGAATTATATAAATAGAGTAGATGATGTCACTGCCAATATGAACAAGTGTGATCACAATAAGAGGTCTAGTCATACATGTATGACAACCATATGTCTTTGAGGTTTTCCCCACTGTAATCTTAATCAGGATAGGTGGTATATTAAGGGTTCTATGAAATAAGCCAATTTAAATGGAATTAATGTTGTGCTGTACGGGTTAGCTTAACTGTTTTCTATCTACAGTATAGAGGCAAAGGGTTTAACCTGTATCCAGCATATTTTGTATATGAGAACCTACTGAGGTCAAATGGAATGCATTTGATGAGCAAATCTGATATTCACAATGGAGAGCATCCAAGAAACTGTAGCCCTGTTCAGGTTTTTATTTCATCGGTTTGAAATTTCAGAGAGCTGTGTGCCTACACTGATCAACCTCTGAGAAAACTACAGAAATAATTAACAATCAAAAATTAGTCTACAAAATGGGGAATTTTGGGATTTAGTAACAAAAAAAACTAGGTTTGGGTAATGGCTGGTTTCAATATTACATGTACTTATGAGTGTATTATTGTTCATTAAAAGTTAAAATGTTCTATGAGTCTACAAGTAGGCCCTAGTTTGGCAATTTTTGTCTTAATAAGCCAACAGTTTAATGATTTTTCTACTCAATAAAGAACATTTTGTTAAGCACTACATGGCCGTTTCCAATACTCAACTTTGGCTCCGTCTCAGGCTTCAACTGTTTTTTTTTACTAGCTGACTTTGAAGCTGTAAGCGCACTAATTAGTCTAATAGTGCCACAGAGCATCAAAGAAGATGCAAGAGAGCAAAAACTTACAGTAATCCAATTTGATTTAAACGCTTCAGGCCCACAATCAGGGGATTGGTTTCGGAGACAAAGCCCAAGTTGAGTATTGGAAAACGGCCTATGTGAGAGGCCATTTTATCCCATAAAGAAGGCTCTTCTTAAGCCCTTCTTTCCCCATAAAACCAGACCAGTGATCTGAAATTCTCAATTTGCTTGTTAGCATGGCAAAGTTCCCTGCAAATTTACTACTCATCCACAATACAGCAGAAAAGGTTATGGTTCCACATGCTTTCTTTACGTTTACTTTCAATTTTATTGGCTTATAAAGTAAAGGGTAACATCTTACCCACTCTCCCTTATGAGTCATTTCAATCAAAAGATAACTGCACTTGACTTGTAGTGGTCGTGGCATCAATGTTTCAGTGATGGTTGTTTGATAAGAGGAGGGACCTTCCTCTGTCACACCCTGTTAACATCCTTTCAATGGCATTTTAAAATGAGTACAGATTTTGTACCTACAATGTACGTACAAATGCACATGTCCTAAAAAAAAAATCAACGTCATTGGCACAGGTTTCTGCCAAGTCTTTCTGGCCCACTTGGCCAGGATTCCACCTATTCTGGTTTGTCAGAGTTGGCATAAATTGAATATCTGTCAGCTAGGATCAGAAACTTGGCTGATCAAGTGGTTATATCTGCCAACTAGGCACAGGCAGCGGATGACAACTTGTTGGCTATACAGCTTCTTGAGAACAAATTACAGAATAGAGATGCTTTCATAAAACATCTTGTAAAAATTTTGCGCAGTCCTCAAACACTTAAATGGCACGTGATAGTCACAAATCCTATCCTGTTCTTGGATGACTGTTAGAAACTTCACAATTCACTTCGTTGTATTTTGTTATTAAAAAAGGTGGGTCAGATTATACGGACAAGTTTTTGGAATATCTTTTAACTTTGTGAAATTTGAACAAACTTTCACTACAAATTATCATTAATAAGAAAAGATTTGAGATATTTAACGAAATAATGTAACAAAAAAGAATCAGCCGCAAATGACAAATTCAGAATTGTTCAAAAGATCTAGTTAAGATGTCACAGAATACATTTTCCAGTGAGATTTGTATGCATCATACTTGATGTTATTTCATGCAAGGTTACTGACTTTCTTCCAATACATGTATATGGTGGTATGTAAATATATTCCTCAAGAAAGTTAAGGACCACTTCTGGACTTGTAATTTTTTTCCAAGCAATGAGTGGGGTCTAGTTCTTTAATTTTTTTTTTTTGGTCTAGATGGTATTCTCATTGGAATGAAAAATTTTAACAATTCAGGACAGTTGTATTGGGGTATTTTCAGCACTAAAATATCTCATATAAAAGAAGTATACACAAAATAAAAAGTGGTCCTTAACTTTTTTGAGTAGCGTAATTAACACTGGTTTCAAAGGAAGGGCGACATGACTCATCCCAACCCATGCCTCCTACATCAATTCTAACAACATCTTCAAAATAAAACTGCTAGATCATGTCCACATGCGAGTGAGTTTGCCGCACGTTACCACTATTCAGTATGCAGGGGCCTACATACAGTGTACACCTTTAAATCCTACTTTGGTAATTCATCATGTCACTGACAACCTTCCACCCAACACTCACTCTCCCTGGATGAAGCAAAGGGAGAAACAGGGTGTTGGGTCTCACAACTTCCAAGAGAAGAGGTGTCAGCCGTCCACTCCCTGTCAGAGACTCAGGATGATGTCTCTCTTTTATGAATCTCAGGGGAGATGAGTTTCTCTCTCTCCTTCACTTTGTCAGTTTGACCATGGGGGTGTTGTACACGTAGGCTACATGGCTCAGTATTACCTGAGAGGTGACAAACCGCATCCACCAACGGATAATATCTGTTGAAAAGCTGGGTTCAATGGAGCATGCTCAAATGATAAACACGGGACACTGGGGAGTTCCTTATGAGAGAATAATTTCGTCCAATACTCCCCGACATCCACGCCTCCAAAAAAAAAAAAAAACTTTGACAAACACATTTTTCTTCCCTGCGGGTAACGGAAGTGAAGAGATGCATGATTTACGACATGTTTGCATGCTGTGATTGTGAAGGAACAGAAGCCATTTTCTTGCAATCCGTTGTTGGCACGTCCCCAGGGAATTTCCTGACAAGACTGTTAATTGGTTGAAGGCGCGTCATGCCAAGAAACCCGTCTACTCTTCTGAACTTGAGAAAGTGACCATGATACGGTCGAGGCTAGTAAAAAAAATACAAAAAATCCAGATCGGAGGGTCCATGTACTGGCATCAGGGAAATGAATAACAAAACCAGAGCCGACTTTTCACTAAGCCATTTGCTAGTTAACTTTGACCCAAATCTGGTACACTTACTTCTTTAAATTCACATGAACATACAAGTAACAATTTGAATTCTCCATACTAAAACCATTGTTGCTATACCTCATGATTTGGGGCAAGCTTTTGCTTAGTTACATACGAGACGCCTTGCACCTGTGCACTGTTTTCAATGGATAAGAAGGTAACAAAGGAACCAGTCCATTCCAGAGATGGTGGTCGCTATGCGAAAGCTTGCCCCGAATCACAAGGTATAGCAACAGTTTATTTAGTCTGGGGAATTCAAATCGTTATGTTTATGTGTCAGTGCACCATATGTTATTCAAATTTAACTAGCAAATGGCTTATTACAAAAACACAGCAAATGAGATCAGTGCCTGGAACTTGACACACCCATGGATTGGAGTCCACTTTTTTGACTTACCGGTGCAGTCACAAATGATTAAAGCATTCACGAAGATGTCAATATTTTCATTATTCACGGATACACGGTTACAATTCCTCAATCTATAGAAGGTTCCATCCTTGCTTTACAAATACAATGAAACAAATTTCCAAGGGAGTAATACATTGTAATTAATCCTACACAAGCTTCACGGACTAAAAATGACAATACTGTATATATAATCTATATTCGGAGGTATATAGCCCGTGTCTGAATGTACATGTACAGTGTATAGCATTGACCTCAACCTAAATGTACGAGCACAGTGTGAATGGATCCAGATTTATACAGTAGTGTACGGCAAAGCCATGCAGAAATGTCAAGTATGGGTGTACGCGTGTACACGTACATGAACACGTACTGAAATGAACTTAAATTGCCAATGGAAGGAAGGGGGGATAAACGAACATGAGGCTAAAACCGATATTCACCTTTGGAATAGATGCGCAGGGGATCATACAATAAATCAACATGCCAGGTTTTCATTGCAGCAGTAACAGACATATTCATTCTCATAACAGGAAGAGAGAACTGATAGATCTGGAGATATCTGAAGTCCATATGGTAAGGTTCTTGAGGGGTCAAACTAGCCAGATGGGCCTCATTTCATCTCGTATCGCTGAACGGAAGAAAACTTTGCTTGGTAAAACTCAAGGAATGCTAAGCTTTGTTGTGACAGACAGAAATTAGTAAACTGCAGCGGGATGAAGCAAACTCTTCATCTTGCACCTACTCTTCTGTCACAACTTATTATTCATTTTAAAAAAAAATAAAACGTTGGTTTTATTTTAGAAACCCTTTTGATCACAAGCAAAAACACGCAGCAGCTGGGAGTTTTCTAGATTTTGATTCCTTTCACGTTAAAGATAAACTGACCTTTTTCTCAGTACAGGCTACATCAACACTGAAGACTGTTATACAAGGACCAGAGAGAGAAAGAGGGAAATGCAGAGAGAGAAAGAGAGTTGAGACATGAGATGGATGTGTACGTATACATGATGCACATAGAGTGGCAGTCACAGATGGAAAATTGGCACAAGATAGACAAAAACTGGACAACTGTTTGATATATGAATATATATCCAATATGCCCATTAGGGTACATGGGGTATGCACGCATATAAGGGACTTCGGAACCAAAGAGGTTTCTCAACTTCGGAGAGAACCTTTAAAAAACTCTCCAAATCACATCTTCTTAATCATTGTCCTGTTCTCAAAATCCCTTAAGCAAATCCAAGCCAATACCCTGGAACATTTGGAGTGCCCAAGCAGACCTTTCCCTGATTTGTATTTATTGGATTACTAGCACGGCTGGTGAGACAGGGAGTCCAAGCACCCACAAGATGAAATAATAAATAAATGCCAGTCACAATAAATGTCACTACCAGACACTTGGACTATAACATGAAGATCTTGTTTCCCCGCTGCCGAATGACAAAGAGGTCTAATTAATATCTTCTCTTCCTTTCATAGATAACAAAACGGAAGCTGATGTTATGGAAAGAAAAGAAAAAGCAGACATGTTACAAGTGGTCCATTTATTTCTGTCAGTTGACCAATTTGAAGTTCATCAATTGATCTAGACAGGGTATTAAAGGCAGTCGACTTTTTTTTGATAAATTGACCTATTTTTCCTTCAGTTGCTCAATGAGTAGTTACAATTTTGTAGGTCGTTACTCTCCTTGCCATCTTGTGGAACAAGTGCTGGCATGATTGATGGGGACAAATTGAGCTAAACGGCAAAGATGGCTGGGTGTTCAAGGGTGTGGTTGGACACAGTGGGTGGACTAGGGTGAGCTATGGTACGAGGGTGGTAGGATAGCGGACAGAGAGTTTGCATGGCTGCCATCTTTTAGGCCAGTGCTTTTGTTCCACAGTATACGCATAAAGGAGGTTTCCCTGTAGAAGAAAAGAACTGCCCGGTAAGATGGCTACCACGCAAAGCCTCTATTGTGCACTGAATGCTGGGACAGGGTGAGTGGGTTGGATGGGAAGGGTTGGTAAGGTGAAGGAGGTTGTGACAGGAGGGGATGAGAAGCCTCAACAACCCTCATCCCCACCCTGAGAGCAGGCTCCCCCCTCCCACCGCAATCCAAACTTTGTAGCTTGTGCTGAAACATCTTACCCGTGAATTGCGAAGCGACAACTTCTAGTTTGTAGGGTGTGTCGGGGGTGTTCTCATCCAACTTCTGGGATATATTGACTATGTTACCCTTGGTGTTGTAGAGTTTGAGGATGTCATGCGGTCCAGCCTCTGCTGCAGCTCGAAAACAGTCTGAGGGCAAAAATCAAAGAAAACAGAACAATCTAACAGTTAAGCTGTAAACATTGTCATGTTTAAATAACCCCCCCCCAAAAAAAAAATAAATTACAAACACTCTGTTGACGCTTTGTAAGGAATCCATCTTGCACGGCTCTTCTTCTGTTCCAGAGAGAAAATTCCTTAGGGCATACATGTATAGTTGTATACTGTGGAACACAAGCACTGACCTGCAAGATGGCAGGCATGCAAACCCTCTATACTCAGACCAAGTTTAGAGAAGATACCTTGAAATAAACATAACCTGCCTTTTTGCCAGAATCAATACCTGGCACCTGACATGCAAACAAATCAATTGAAGGTAAATTTGGTCAAGTTTTATAATGCCATATTTTATGACAGGAGAAAATAATCAATATTTCATAAACTAAGCCTTTTCTGAGATAACTACGGAAACATTCCCGCAGTGATTAGAATAAAACTTTTGGCCAGAAAAGTGTAGGGCTACATGTACATATGTGCACATGTGTACATCATTCACATGCATAGCTGACATTCTTTACATGACAGATAATAAGTGAAACCGTTTTTACAACAATGTGTAAAGGTTTGATAAAATTTGGAACAAAATTAATTGAAACAGGATGCAAACTGAAAATGGAATTTACTAGCTCTGCAGTTGCTAAGAGAGTTTTCCTTCCTCCATGATGCAACACACCAGGGATTTTTTTTTCAACTGCTGCAGCATGTAGGCAAGAGGATGTTGGTGTCATTTGAACCCTGCACTCCCACATGACTGTCAGAACTCTTCAGTACAACAGGCACAAAAAGAACAAAATAAGCGACTATCTTGTGTATAACTCTCTGGGTCAAGTTCGAGGGAATTGCAACATCGCTCTGGCCATGCGGCAATAAGTCACTTCCTAGTAGAGACTAGGCTGTCTGTTAACACTTTTGGACTTCATATCCCAGTTGAACCTGAAGGGTTTCCAATCATGCTGATAAAGACCAAAGATTACATGTATATAGCGCCGCAAAGCGGCGCAAGATGGGTAATTCAGCCATAAAGGTGTTATCACCATAGGCGCCATTCGAGTGTGAACGTTAATGTGTGTGCGTACCTGTCGCGGCGCCTGCGCATTAACCTGCGCTGCGCAGGCGTAGTCCAACCAGAATGGCACCTATGTGATAACAACATTTTACGCGTATTCGTGGTGAAGTTCCCCACCTTGCGTCGCTACGCGGCGTTATACGATCTTTGATAAAGACGCTCTTATGACACGCGAAGTGGAAATTTTCTGCCTAAAACAGTACAAAATTATAGTGTGTGCTTACAGGCAACAAAAGCAGCTTAGCATCAGATTTCATGGGATGTAATAAAATTTTCACTGAGCAGAAAAGTAAATCTGAGCCCGGGTTAAAGACGTGTACAGTTTGCTGAGCAGTGCTTAACATACTTTCAAACTCCAAAGTCATGTCAGCATGTCTATTCCGTGATGTGGAGGGAGACGTGACGCCTTTTGTTTATGAATATGTTTGACATGACACTACTCTGTTTACCAGTCGGACTGAAATAGTGGTAAATACGGTGGACATTGACGTCATTGGCTGATTGGCGCGACAGACACTCTGCCCACGGGATGGCTGATAATCGGCCAAAGATGCACATGGATTAATCTACAGATGCGCATTAAATACATGAGCTTAGCGACACGTTCACTTGCTGCTATCAACCCTCATCAAAAGTGCCAGTGGGCGTTATTTGTGGGTAACAGCAGGAAAGCTTTACTTTTCCCAAGTGAATTTTGTGCAGTTTTCCAATAAAGCAGCAAATGAGAGAGATCTGTTAGTGCTGGGTCACTGACAGAGATAACAAAAAGTCATCTTGGATTTCATTTGTACAGCTAGCACAGCCTCGTGCTTAGGTAAAGTGTTGAAGCAGCAGGCCTATGTTGGTTTGCTGTATAACACTGAGCAAAGATCATCTCTGAAACATGTGAATTGGTATCATTAAGTGTAAACTACCTTGCCCATGGACAGACTGGTACATGTTGGCTGAAGCAGCAAGACCAGCGGAATTTGAAAACACTTTAACTGAACCATCAGAGTCTAGTCCAATTCTTTTTTGATATATCTCAAGAGTAAACTATCTTGCCTAAGGACATGAGCTGAATCACCGTGATCTTGAGGCAGACATGCAACTAAGAAATCAGCTGATCCAGAGATGTTCTGCACCCCTGTGGGGAGATTCAACCGTAAAGTCAGAAAGCTTTTTTTATTGATACTTCATTTGTTCATTTGTTTGTGGCGTTTGTCAATCGAGAGCACTGTTCAAGAAGCACGTTATCTAGAAATTTCGGCTCACACTTTGGGAGTCGCCATATTTGGTTTCACAGCATGTTATCACAAAGTCTTAAGTGGAATCCATTCAATGCATTATTTAATTTTCCTTTATTTGGTTCTTATGGGTTTTCTGTGGGTATTTAGGGATATGTTTAAGCATGTAATGTGGTAGAAAATATAACAGAAACAGCGACAATTTACCACGTTATGGCTGTGCGCACGTCAAGGTACAGGGTTTATTGCATATAATGGGGCATCATGCACCTGTACAACTTCATGCATACACAAGGTTATTATCATCGATCCAGTTAATTGTTTATTTGTGATCAGTTAATATGATTGCTTAAATTTAATTAGATAAACAAATTGCCGGTATTGATTCATGTTGTTTTTAACTGTTTAAAGTCAATTTCTGTACATTTGTGTACTTTTGTGGACAGATTAAACCGTGTTCACCAGTTTACATATTCATGTAGGCCTGCGCTTGCATGTACATCCGTCACTCTGTAACACAAACCACTATCCAACACAGTTAAGTAAATTTACCACAATCGGTTTGGCCAGAATTAAATTAATTCCCCAGGTTTTTTAATTGTCAAAGACTCTGACATACAAACCACGTAACATTCGAACATCATTCAAAGCTGTTGTCCTCAGAGAAATCAGGCTGGGCCTCCAAGGTTGATTGGGAATATAACACATCAGGTCAGCGACACAACCAACAATCCAATTCCCTAGGCCCCTCTGGTTACAACAAAGAGTTATGTACACATGAAAAAAGGGCTTGTCATCATCTTCACTGAAAAAAAAAAAATACCAATAAACAGATGGCAATTACCATTATCTTATATTTTCGCTCTTTAGCAGCCTTGGATCTCTGCTTTTTTGGACGGGATAGTTGGTTTTTTTTTTCCTGCCGGGTAGCAGGCAATTACCGCAAGAACACTCGGTGCCAGGATATTAATTTCAGAGTAATCAGTCATCTGTCTAGGATGACGCAGCCATTGTCCTCCAAGGCTACAGAATATAAAAATGATTTGGTGTTTCTTACGGTCTGCCTATTGTTTCCTCTTTTTCATATCATCTTAAAAAGATTCCCTCTTTATTTGTTTTGAAGAATTTGCCCAACCTCCAATACAAAGGTCACCTCTGGATTAAAACTGCTTTTTCTAAGGCTCAATTGAATTTCCAGTTTTATTGCTTCATTTCTCGACTGATGTGTATTTTTTAAATTTTTTTAATTTCTTTTTAATACATCTTGCTATGAGCCAGAGGCCAAGATCCATATGTCAATGCTTTAATCTTTATCACGCTTTGTTCCTAGACATAAACATTCACAATGAAGCCAGAACGGCCGAGTTATCAATGGACAACAGTCAGAGAAATGTCTGTTGCAGAGAGAGAAAGGAACTACATGCACACTGTACAGTAGATCAATTCCTTCTGAGGAAACGTAAACATCTATGAATGAGCAAGGAGCTGACTGACCAATCCGGTGGGATCTGAACCACATGTACAAGTACCATTCCTGTATAGAAACTATCCTGACAACTTCCCAATCTACCACTTGGCAAGACTCCGATCAGTCAATCTTGTACTTCACCTTTCAAGTGGAATCAAGCCCTCTGTCAAATAATGGCTAGGTGCTTCCTTCCTCAATTCTACAAAATCTTTAAAAACATTCTCACTGGATTGTTAGGGGGTCTTTGACTGTTACTGTTGAGGTGGAAGAAAAAGCCTTGCTTATCTCCCATGTAGTGTCCGATTACTGTATCACAGTACACATTTCCTTAAACATTTACGGTAAGTTTGCAAATCTGACAGTTTTGTATTTCATCAAAAAGAATCCCAAACATGTTCACAAGTATTTTTGGTCATAACCAAGATTTTATCGGAATTTGAGGACAGGGATTTTGTAAAGAATTCTGGATGGCCAGTGGAGCTACTTTTTAATCGCGTCACATTCAACCTGTTTACACGGTAACGGGATACTACCTACTAATATTTGCATAAGAGATTCTCATCTCTCTGCCTGGGTGCCTTCGTGGCATGCTTGGGTTACGGCATGTCCACAGCAGAAAAGAAACACGGCATGACCTGGTTCAGTTTCAGAGGCCAGCCTGCCTCCCGGCATGCTAGAACTGCAATCAATACGCTGAAAATTTCAATTAGCTAACGGGCAAGAAATGGTGCGACAGTGACACAGGCTTGGACATGTATGCTGCAAGTAGCTCACATAATGCCACAAAAGTACTACAGGGAGTGAGTCTGTGGATACATGCTTGCTAGATTTGTACTCACTTATGTTTCAGGACCTATATGTACAAAGAAATGATATATGCAAGTCTCAACACAATTGTAGACATGCATGTAAGACATGAGGTCAATTGGAACTGAGATGGAGGAAAGTTCAGGTGCCAAAGAAACCTCCAAGAGAAAGAATCCAAAACGTAAGTTTCCATTTCCTTGATGGTGCTCACGGAAAGCAGCGCAAGTGATTCATGGAAAGAAGAAAAACCAGCAGCAGTTGTCCTCACAGAATTGGGGGAAATAACAAAATCTTTCTGCGGCTATTCATTTCAATCTGAGCGACAAATTCAACTCAGCCCGTCTCTGCAGTTTGAAATTTGTTGGTTTCCCACTTTTCAAGATCCATGATCTACGGTTACAGA